TGTATATACAAAGCTATTATATCAGATATAATGTGTCTGCGGGCGTTCAAAGTCATGGTTCAAAGTCATGCCGGCACAATCCGAACCCTAGGACAAACGACATCTCAGAGACTAACTTGCTGGTATTAGTAGATGGATTGCCAACTTGATTGCTCTTTCATATTGCAGGTGCAGTGCTCATGCCTCAACCTTACAACCCATCCAAATCACCCAAACCCTCCGGAAAGAAGAACAATCCAACAGCAAGGTCTTGTTAAACCCATTCTGCAATACACAGTCCAATTGAATAGATGCATGTTTGAACGTGTCAGTTGGACCAAGACCGACGCCCGACACTCATTCGTTTCAGCCTAGTGCGGAACTCATCAGTTTAGTATAGACACTCAATGCAAGAGGCCTCGCTCCCACAATGAAAATTGCAGATGGGGGTATCTGTCATTGCGCAAACGCGTCGTTTTGTACTGAGTACATTAGACTCTCCTGCAACATTGCAGGCCCCGCGCGCCATTTTCGCAGCTCGCCCGAAGCTGACATTTGTCACTTGACAATGGCTGGACGCCAAGTTGCTACGCAGCAATTGTGTGGAACGCTTGCGGATTGGCTTGGGCTAGGCGGAACACCACTTGTCATTGCGGGGTGCAATGATCCAAACTATCACAAATCCAATCCAGACCATCTTGCATGACCAAGCCCAAAAGAGAAAAGGCTGGATGATCCTCTTTTCTGAATCAGCAGCACTACTGATAGGTACAGCAACCCGAGTCTTGGCATATTCCGGCTAAGAGATCTCGAATAGGCTGAAATCAGTTTATGTGTGTAACGATACAAGACCTCGCAACAACTACTTTGCTCAGACCTTCTTGGCCAACCATCGACCGCTGTTCAAGGACAATGTTAACCCAAACCAAGTCTCTGTGGTGTCCACACCAGCCCAAGCCAGGTGTTGCGCGGGAAGGCTGCATTGTTTGCGAACCAAATCTGCCTCCCCTGCCAACGGAGCCCAAGCAGCACTGCAGAGGGATCCTTGGCGAGATTAGCAGAGGCCGAATCACAGGCGCACTTCAGCGTGCCTGCATGCAGGATAGGTTTCATTTCCTTTCTGCACGGCCCGCAAAGGAGGACCGCTTTCGACGGTCCTTGCAAAGGAGCCGCAAAAAGAAGGTCGTGCGACGCTGAAGCTCTTGTTCGTTCCTTTCCCAGAATAATTTCTGTGTGGTGTGTGCGGCCTAAAATGGCAATCGATGAGTGCACGCTGAAGTGGCAGCTCAGTGGCGGCTCTGGCCACCTTCCAATGCATTGGTTCTGCCGTTGGGACATGCTATTTGAGGATCCACAAAGCAAGGCTCCTTCCATTCCTTTGGAAGGCTACCTTCGATCTCGGCTTCCCAATTGCGGCCTTTCGGCCAAAAGGAGGCGGGTCAGCCCGGAGCCGGTTTCTTTTCATATTCCCTTTACTGACCCCAGCATATCCGCTACACCTACGAGACGACAAAATGCAGAGCTCGGCTCACCTCGGGTTCCGGCGCTGCGTGGCGCTCCGGGCGTCCGTGGTGGACACCGTGGTGGGTGCCGCGTCGCTGGCCACCTCTACCGCCACAAAGGTCCGCCGCTCCACCACCCGCTCCCCGGGAATGTCCTCCGGGTGGAAGAGTTGACATGCCTCCACCAGCCTGGCCGGTCTGACCACATGTGGGTTGGGTAAGGCACCAAAGGATGGTCAAAGCGAACATTGGATTAATGGGTCTGAGAATTGGAGCATCAAAAAGGCATGAGTCGGAGTCAGATCTTTCGGGCTACTTCCTAGTCTGTGAAACCACTAACATTTGAGAGATTCGTCCCTGCCACAAGCTGGATTGATGCCCATGAGCTGCCAACATGCCTCACTTGTTCATCTTGTTCCTTTGATGCAACAGCAAAGAATGGCAAGCAAAATCGTGGTATATCGTGGTCATGACCCGCTTCCCCATTGCAATTGCAAGACCTACCACATTCAGTACTTGACCCATGCTCCGCAAAGTTCTGTCCAACTTAAATTTGGCAAGGCCTGATACGTCTGTCGAACCCTCGAAGCCCGCACTCCGGGGCACCTCTTGCACCAGTTCACCTTGAGGTTATGCTTGCGAGGGAGTCCCCGTACCTTGGACAGACTCAGAATGTTTCCCAAAGGGCGCGTATCGATATGTTTGCAATATGCTTGCCTTTATTGTGGCATGGGTCCGGGTGCAGGACAATTGTTACGTTCGGGGGGTCAATTGCGCGAAATTTGAGCCGGTCTCTGTGGTTAGGGTTGGCTTGGGGTTGGAATAAGCATAGGCGCACAAGCTGCGAGGAACCGCAAAGCCCAACAACACCGAAGGGGTCACCAACTGCAAAAACACCGAAAGGCTGCAAAAACCACCACAGGCCACCAACACTATAAAAGCGAGGAACAAACTAAGAACTGCCTTAAAGGAAATGAGGACATATGACTCACAATCAAAACCGGGTATAAAGATGGTCGACCCAGAACCATTTAAAGAAGTAAGAAGGCGGCCGCAGCTATTTATGGTTGGGATTGCCCCGTACTCACCTTCATCTACCCAGGTTTTGAGCAAGTGCCTCATATGGCCCAATGGCGGGAACCGACAAAGAGCACAAATCTCAGTCTGGAGGTACCAGGCGCTCGATCTCCTTTTTGTAGCCCGCGCTGAGGATGAGGTGCCGGCCCTTCAACCAGCTCAGCCTCAACTTTCGAATCGACTGCGTGCCAGGAAGTTTAGGACTGCCCACTCTTTACGTGGGGCCTGCCCGTGAAAGTTCTTCTTTGCTTTTTGCGTTGCGTTGAGTCCCTTGGAGGATGGGGCCTACCCGTGAAAGGTCGGGCAAGGCTATGCTATATTCTGCTAGTGGTGCTGATAAGTGTATGGTGACATTGGATCTTCAACTCAAAACAAAAGAATCCCAAACTGCAACATCACTCAACAGGACTGCTTTGTGTTGCAATCACAACGCAAATCATATGAGCTTGTTCTGATAAGCTGGTACACGCCATCGGCGAATCCGGGCCGGACAAAGAAGCAAGCGACTGGCGCACAAAACAACACTTGCTGTAGTTCAGATCCACGCCCAAACTGCACAAATGGTGCAGCGTCCCTACAACGAGCTCCAAAAACATACAAACACATCGAGGCACACTCCTTCGGCCCAGGCACCGTCCGTGGCTCTGGAGACTCTTCACCCTGCACAGGTGAGCCTTCACCAGGAACAAGCCTGCGCCACTCTCCAACTGCCGCTCACCAGCAAGAGATTGACCTGGGATGCCAATGAGTCCCCGACAGACAGGCCAAAAAACAGCAAGGCGGAAGTGTGAGTGGCGAATTGAGCCCAGGCACAGTTGTTCAGATGGTCACTTGTGCGGATAGCATCCAGAAGAGCAGCTGGCAGTCGAGACAGCTCCATGACCAGAATGTTGTCAAAGCAAGAGCTGTCAGGCTGCTTGCCAAACAATGTAACAAACGGCCCCTTTGCAGATGTGCTGGATACCAGAAGCGTGTCCCCAGGACACCCCATTTCGACCTCAACTACTTCTTGCTCTGAGGTATACCTGGCAACATCAGTGATCACGACAGAGTGCAAACCAGCACCAGCCAGCGCTGCGTCTGCCAGCGGCCCAGGCACAACCAGCAGCTCATCTTTGCGAGGGCGCACGGAGCCTGCTTCCTTCAACCCCCAGTCAGACTGACCCACTGCTTTCACCAGTAGTGGATGGTCGGCCGTGACATGAAACTCACCACCCAGCCATTTAAGCGCAACCAGCTCCGTGTGTACCCCCTGAATTCGGCATGCAGACACCAAAGCCGCGCCATCGCTCACACGCAAAGACGGGCGGGGCATGTCTTGACCCTTGCAACCCCCAAAGCCGCCCAGCGCTACAAACACCACTGCACCCTGGCCGGCAGATACCATCTCAGCTGCCTGTCTAGGGCCTGCCAGGGTCAGGATCACGGAGTCCTGCAGGGGGTGTTTCATTGCCTCTCCACGCATTGCTGACCAATCTTTTACTCTTGTGCTGCCAGAACCCACTGGCCTGAGTCAGGCAGTAGCCTCTGTTGCTGGACACCTTGAAGAAGCCCTCGCTGGCATTCCCGCCAGAAGTTCTCACGCAGGGATGAGCGTCAGAAACCGTGTGGGCGCGGCAAAGGCCTACGGCCTCAGACGGCAAGGAGGACGTTGGCATGTAGCTGACGGCCTCTACCCTGGACTCCTGGATGCTCTGCAAACCCCCGCGCTTGTTGATAAGGCACTTCTTGAGCTTGATTGTCAGCACTCCAAACTCCAAGGCGCACTGGTCTTCGGACACCTCAAACGGCCCATCCATGAAGCGGAAGTTCTTCTCGTAGACCCCAGACTGCTGCCGCAGGCTGGACACCGCAGTGACAGAGCCCTCGTCGATCAGCTTGGACTTCTCAATGCGGATGGTCAGGCCCTCCCCCTGCTGATCCCAGCGTACACCCTCAGGCCGCACACCAGGGCATTCGAAGAGGATGGTGCGGGTAAGGTATTCCGAAGTCTTCTGGTCGAAGATCATGGGCTCCGGGCTGAACGACTTGTCGTACGAGATCACTTCGCCGAGGTCCGAGATCACACCCTCGGTCTTGACGTCCAGCTTGTCGCAGGTCGCGTGGAAGTAGCCGATCTTGCGATGGGACGGGAAGTCCTCAAAGTGCTCTTCAGCTCTTGCCTCTTGCTCATGGTACTGGTGGTACTCCAGGTTGCGTCCACCCGTGTCGTCGCACCCCATGAGCAGGAAGCGGGGCAGCAAGTCGTCCACCTTGCTGCGGACGAGTTCCTTCAGCACCACCTTCTCAGGCAGCTTCTTGGCGTGTTCCAAGTGCTCCAACAGCAGGCGGATGTTGCTGTGGTTGAAGGTATCTCCAGCTGCACTGCCTTCCTTGCAAATCGCAAAGTGGTGGACGGGCGGGTTGCGCCTGGCTGTGTAGAACAGCTTGCCCAGATGGCTTTCCACACCGTCATACCTTGAGGTGATTTGCTTGTGGAACAGCCCCTCCGCCTCCTGTGGATCCTGCGTGGATGCCAAGTTGTGCACCACGATCAGCTCCCGCGCAGCCTTGTGACTGAACTGCTCCTTCTGCTCAAACATCTGGACGTACTTCTGCTCAAACGACGTGAAGTCGTTCACAACAAACATGATGTGGTCAGAAAGTTGAGAAACCAGCTCGAACAGAAAGGCCTCCGTGCTCTGGGCATCCACAACCCTGTCGATGCTGTCCGACTTGTACGACACAGTCGACTGCACCCCAGGAGAGTCGATGAGCAGCATGCGTCGCTCTTTCAGGTAGACGCACGACAAGCCTTGTGTCACCTGAGTCTTGCCAGATGGCAGGTTCAGCCCGAAGAGCTTGTTCAACAGGAAGGTCTTGCCCTTGTTGAACAGCCCAACCACCGCGACGATGCGAACATCCTGACAATCTTCCGGATTGAAGTCGGACGAAACAGAGCGCAGGAGCCAAATGCGTTTCTCCTTGGCAAACTCCGCCAGCGACATCATCCGGATGACACAGTCGTAATCCGTAGGTTTACTGATGAAAGACTCCTCCACCTTCTTCTGGTCTTCCTCATCTGCTTGTCCTAGCTGGCCAGCCGGGGCCGGCCACAAACGTGTTCGCAGTGTTCGCATAACAGCCAAACCTGATCCCATGAATCCGAGGGGCAATCGGAAAACCGCGCGCAAAGCCTTGCTGCAGGCGTTTCCCATTCCTTCGAATCTCCAGCTACAGCTTGCAGAATCCCAAAGGCTGCGGGGGGGGTGGCCTGATTGGCTGCCTCGAGCTACCTCTTCATGCCCCTTTTGCGCCTGTTCATGGCCAAGGGGCGACAAATCAACGCATTCAAACGCCTACAGCCCGCAGGAAGCACACAATTCATTTTGTCGCCACGCAGGCGCATTGTCCAGCCGGAAACTGAATGCTGCAGGGTCAGCTTCTGCTCAAGAAACATTGAATCAGAACATATGGCAAACTGTGAGTGTGGAGGCAACAAAAACACAAAGCAGCAACTACCAAGCCAGACTCCTTTGTCAAGCGGCACCCCCAAGCAGCACTGCATAGGAGGGCGTGGGTTGACAAAACCTGGACATTGCACATGCGCTTCTGCGCTTGCAACTCATAACATGAGCTCACGATTCAATTCCATGATGGCCCTTGGCTCATTCAGCCAAATTGCTAAGGTTGCAACTCTACCCTGTCTCAAGCGCAAATCGGGAGCTCGCAGGAATTCGTGTTGTAGACAATTGGAAGCTAACATGGCTCTTGCCAACCCGATCATGCGCAGCTGCAACGCAACACTCTTCGAAACCCAACACTTCCGTCTTATCCCAACATGCCGCTGGCAAGCCTGCCGCAGTAGAACAACGGCACAGCAACACATTGCACACATGCAGCTGTCTTCCGGGCAAGGCCCACAGCTTCTAGAGAGGATTGACCACTCGAAACCCGCAGCTGTGAACCAGTGAATGCACCATGTGAATTTGATGGATGTTGGCATGCAAGTGTATTACTCGCGGCCTCGCATGCATGAGCGAGGTGCGAGCTGTCTGCTCAGAGCAGCGTGTCAGCGAAACTAGGCACTTGCTGGCGTCAGGATCGCGGAGTCTGCAGTCGCTGCCGTGTCGCTGGACACCTTGAAGAAGCCCTCGCTGGCATTCCCGCCAGAGGTTCTCACGCAGGGATGAGCGTCAGAAACCGTGTGGGCGCGGCAAAGGCCTTCGGCCTCAGACGGCAAGGAGGACGTTGGCACGTAGCTGACGGCCTCTACCCTGGACTCCTGGATGCTCTGCAAACCCCCGCGCTTGTTGATAAGGCACTTCTTGAGCTTGATTGTCAGCACTCCAAACTCCAAGGCGCACTGGTCTTCGGACACCTCAAACGGCCCATCCATGAAGCGGAAGTTCTTCTCGTAGACCCCAGACTGCTGCCGCAGGCTGGACACCGCAGTGACAGAGCCCTCGTCGATCAGCTTGGACTTCTCAATGCGAATGGTCAGGCCCTCCCCCTGCTGATCCCAGCGTACACCCTCAGGCCGCACACCAGGGCATTCGAAGAGGATGGTGCGGGTAAGGTATTCCGAAGTCTTCTGGTCGAAGATCATGGGCTCCGGGCTGAACGACTTGTCGTACGAGATCACCTCGCCGAGGTCCGAGATCACACCCTCGGTCTTGACGTCCAGCTTGTCACAGGTCACGTGGAAGTAGCCGATCTTGCGATGGGACGGGAAGTCCTCAAAGTGCTCTTCAGCTCTTGCCTCTTGCTCATGGTACTGGTGGTACTCCAGGTTTCGTCCACCCGCGTCGTCGCACCCCATGAGCAGGAAGCGGGGCAGCAAGTCGTCCACCTTGCTGCGGAGGAGTTCCTTCAGCACCACCTTCTCAGGCAGCTTCTTGGCGTGTTCCAAGTGCTCCAACAGCAGGCGGATGTTGCTGTGGTTGAAGGTATCTCCAGCTGCACTGCCTTCCTTGCAAATCGCAAAGTGGTGGACGGGCGGGTTGCGCCTCGCTGTGTAGAACAGCTTGCCCAAATGGCTTTCCACACCGTCATACCTTGAGGTGATTTGCTTGTGGAACAGCCCCTCCGCCTCCTGTGGATCCTGCGTGGATGCCAAGTTGTGCACCACGATCAGCTCCCGCGCAGCCTTGTGACTGAACTGCTCCTTCTGCTCAAACATCTGGACATACTTCTGCTCAAACGACGTGAAGTCGTTCACAACAAACATGATGTGGTCAGAAAGTTGAGAAACCAGCTCGAAGAGAAAGGCCTCCGTGCTCTGGGCATCCACAACCCTGTCGATGCTGTCCGACTTGTACGACACAGTCGACTGCACCCCAGGAGAGTCGATGAGCAGCATGCGTCGCTCTTTCAGGTAGACGCACGACAAGCCTTGTGTCACCTGAGTCTTGCCAGATGGCAGGTTCAGCCCGAAGAGCTTGTTCAACAGGAAGGTCTTGCCCTTGTTGAACAGCCCAACCACCGAGACGATGCGAACATCCTGACAATCTTCCGGATTGAAGTCGGACGAAACAGAGCGCAGGAGCCAAATGCGTTTCTCCTTGGCAAACTCCGCCAGCGACATCATCCGGATGACACAGTCGTAATCCGTAGGTTTACTGATGAAAGACTCCTCCACCTTCTTCTGGTCTTCCTCATGCTCCTGCACATTCTTCTGGTCGTCCTCATCTGCGGGTCCCAGCTGGCGACTCGGGCCTTGCAGGAAAAGTTGCCATGCACATCCTGACGCAGCAAGAAGTGCAAGACCAAAGAGGCCTGGCACAACGTTATCCTTGCGATGCTGGGCCGGAATGTCCGCGAATTCTTTAAGGACCAATGTACCCATGATTGCCTGAATAGTTCCAATGAATGCCAGCGACGATCGGCAAACTGCGCGCTGAAGGCTGAAGGCATTTCCCATTGCTTTGGAGGCACACAAATCTCCAGCTACAGCTTGCAGAACCAAAGGCTGCCGGGGGGGGGTGGCCTGATTGGCTGCCTCGGGCTACCTCTTCATGCCCCTTTTGCGCCTGTTCATGGCCAAGGGGTGACAAATCAACACATTCAAACGCCTACAGCCCGCAGGAAGCACACAACTCATTTTGTCGCCACGCTGAGCGCATTGTCCAGCCGGAAACTGAATGCTGCAGAGTCAGCTTCTGCTCAAGAAACATTGAATCACAGCATATGGCAAACTGTGAGTGTGGAGGCAACATAAACACAAAGCAGCAGCTACGAAGCCAGACTCCTTTGTCAAGCGGCGCCCCCAAGCAGCACTGCATAGGGGGCGTGGCTTGACAAAACCTGCGTATTACACATGCGCTTCTGCGCTTGCAACTCATAACATGAGCTCACGATTCAATTGCATGATGGCCCTTGGCTCATTCAGCCAAATTGCTAATGTTGCAACTCTACCCTGTCTCAAGCGCACATCGAGAGCTCGTTGGAATTGGTGTTGTAGACAATTGGAGGCTAACATGGCTCTTGCCAACCCGATCATGCACAGCTGCAACGCAACACTCTTCGAAACTCAACACTTCCGTCTTATCCCAACATGCTGCTGGCAAGCGTGCCGGAGTAGAACAACGGCACCGCAACACATTACACACATGCAGCTGTCTTCCGGGCAAGGCCCACAGCTTCTAGAGAGGATTGACCACTCGAAACCCGCAGCTGTGAACCAGTGAATGCACCATGTGAATTTGATGGATGTTGGCATGCAAGTGTATTACTCGCGGCCTCGCATGCATGAGCGAGGTGCGAGCTGTCTGCTCAGAGCAGCGTGTCAGCGAAACTAGGCACTTGCTGGCGTCAGGATCGCGGAGTCTGCAGTCGCTGCCGTGTCGCTGGACACCTTGAAGAAGCCCTCGCTGGCATTCCCGCCGGAGGTTCTCACGCAGGGATGAGCGTCAGAAACATTGTGGGCGCGGCAAAGGCCTTCGCCCTCAGACGGCAAGGAGGACGTTGGCATGTAGCTGACGGCCTCTACCCTGGACTCATGGATGCTCTGCAAACCCCCGCGCTTGTTGATAAGGCACTTCTTGAGCTTGATTGTCAGCATTCCAAACTCCAAGGCGCACTGGTCTTCGGACACCTCAAACGGCCCATCCATGAAGCGGAAGTTCTTCTCGTAGACCCCAGACTGCTGCCGCAGGCTGGACACCGCAGTGACAGAGCCCTCGTCGATCAGCTTGGACTTCTCAATGCGAATGGTCAGGCCCTCCCCCTGCTGATCCCAGCGTACGCCCTCAGGCCGCACACCAGGACATTCGAAAAGGATGGTGCGGGTAAGGTATTCCGAAGTCTTCTGGTCGAAGATCATGGGCTCCGGGCTGAAGGACTTGTCGTACGAGATCACTTCGCCGAGGTCCGAGATCACACCCTCGGTCTTGACGTCCAGCTTGTCGCAGGTCACGTGGAAGTAGCCGATCTTGCGATGGGACGGGAAGTCCTCAAAGTGCTCTTCAGCTCTTGCCTCTTGCTCATGGTACTGGTGGTACTCCAGGTTTCGTCCACCCGCGTCGTCGCACCCCATGAGCAGGAAGCGGGGCAGCAAGTCGTCCACCTTGCTGCGGACGAGTTCCTTCAGCACCACCTTCTCAGGCAGCTTCTTGGCGTGTTCCAAGTGCTCCAACAGCAGGCGGATGTTGCTGTGGTTGAAGGTATCTCCAGCTGCACTGCCTTCCTTGCAAATCGCAAAGTGGTGGACGGGTGGGTTGCGCCTCGCTGTGTAGAACAGCTTGCCCAGATGGCTTTCCACACCGTCATACCTTGAGGTGATTTGCTTGTGGAACAGCCCCTCCGCCTCCTGTGGATCCTGCGTGGATGCCAAGTTGTGCACCACGATCAGCTCCCGCGCAGCCTTGTGACTGAACTGCTCCTTCTGCTCAAACATCTGGACGTACTTCTGCTCAAACGACGTGAAGTCGTTCACAACAAACATGATGTGGTCAGAAAGTTGAGAAACCAGCTCGAACAGAAAGGCCTCCGTGCTCTGGGCATCCACAACCCTGTCGATGCTGTCCGACTTGTACGACACAGTCGACTGCACCCCAGGAGAGTCGATGAGCAGCATGCGTCGCTCTTTCAGGTAGACGCACGACAAGCCTTGTGTCACCTGAGTCTTGCCAGATGGCAGGTTCAGCCCGAAGAGCTTGTTCAACAGGAAGGTCTTGCCCTTGTTGAACAGCCCAACCACCGAGATGATGCGAACATCCTGACAATCTTCCGGATTGAAGTCGGACGAAACAGAGCGCAGGAGCCAAATGCGTTTCTCCTTGGCAAACTCCGCCAGCGACATCATCCGGATGACACAGTCGTAATCCGTAGGTTTACTGATGAAAGACTCCTGCACCTTCTTCTGGTCTTCCTCATCTGCTTGTCCTAGCTGGCCAGCCGGGGCCGGCCACAAACGTGTTCGTAGTGTTCGCATAACAGCCAGACCTGATCCCATGAATCCGAGGGGCAATCGGAAAACCGCGCGCAAAGCCTTGCTGCAGGCGTTTCCCATTGCTTCGAAGGCACACAAATCTCCAGCTACAGCTTGCAGAATCCCAAAGGCTGCGGGGGGGGTGGCCTGATTGGCTGCCTCGAGCTACCTCTTCATGCCCCTTTTGCGCCTGTTCATGGCCAAGGGGCGACAAATCAACACATTCAAACGCCTACAGCCCGCAGGAAGCACACAATTCATTTTGTCGCCACGCAGGCGCATTGTCCAGCCGGAAACTGAATGCTGCAGGGTCAGCTTCTGCTCAAGAAACATTGAATCAGAACATATGGCAAACTGTGAGTGTGGAGGCAACATAAACACAAAGCAGCAGCTACCAAGCCAGACTCCTTTGTCAAGCGGCACCCCCAAGCAGCACTGCATAGGAGGGCGTGGGTTGACAAAACCTGGACATTGCACATGCGCTTCTGCGCTTGCAACTCATAACATGAGCTCACGATTCAATTCCATGATGGCCCTTGGCTCATTCAGCCAAATTGCTAAGGTTGCAACTCTACCCTGTCTCAAGCGCACATCGAGAGCTCGTTGGAATTCGTGTTGTAGACAATTGGAGGCTAACATGGCTCTTGCCAACCCGATCATGCGCAGCTGCAACGCAACACTCTTCGAAACCCAACACTTCCGTCTTGTCCCAACATGCTGCTGGCAAGCGTGCCGGAGTAGAACAACGGCACCGCAACACATTGCACACATGCAGCTGTCTTCCGGGCAAGGCCCACAGCTTCTAGAGAGGATTGACCACTCGAAACCCGCAGCTGTGAACCAGTGAATGCACCATGTGAATTTGATGGATGTTGGCATGCAAGTGTATTACTCGCGGCCTCGCATGCATGAGGGAGGTGCGAGCTGTCTGCTCAGAGCAGCGTGTCAGCGAAACTAGGCACTTGCTGGCGTCAGGATCGCGGAGTCTGCAGTCGCTGCCGTGTCGCTGGACACCTTGAAGAAGCCCTCGCTGGCATTCCCGCCGGAGGTTCTCACGCAGGGATGAGCGTCAGAAACATTGTGGGCGCGGCAAAGGCCTTCGGCCTCAGACGGCAAGGAGGACGTTGGCATGTAGCTGACGGCCTCTACCCTGGACTCATGGATGCTCTGCAAACCCCCGCGCTTGTTGATAAGGCACTTCTTGAGCTTGATTGTCAGCATTCCAAACTCCAAGGCGCATTGGTCTTCGGACACCTCAAACGGCCCATCCATGAAGCGGAAGTTCTTCTCGTAGACCCCAGACTGCTGCCGCAGGCTGGACACCGCAGTGACAGAGCCCTCGTCGATCAGCTTGGACTTCTCAATGCGGATGGTCAGGCCCTCCCCCTGCTGATCCCAGCGTACGCCCTCAGGCCGCACACCAGGGCATTCGAAGAGGATGGTGCGGGTAAGGTGTTCCGAAGTCTTCTGGTCGAAGATCATGGGCTCCGGGCTGAAGGACTTGTCGTACGAGATCACTTCGCCGAGGTCCGAGATCACACCCTCGGTCTTGACGTCCAGCTTGTCGCAGGTCACGTGGAAGTAGCCGATCTTGCGATGGGACGGGAAGTCCTCAAAGTGCTTTTCAGCTGAGCTTGCCTCTTGCTCATGGTACTGGTGGTACTCCAGGTTCCGTCCACCAGCGTCGTCGCACCCCATGAGCAGGAAGCGGGGCAGCAAGTCGTCCACCTTGCTGCGCACGAGTTCCTTCAGCACCACCTTCTCAGGCAGCTTCTTGGCGTGTTCCAAGTGCTCCAACAGCAGGCGGATATTGCTGTGGTTGAAAGTATCTCCAGCTGCACTGCCTTCCTTGCAAATCGCAAAGTGGTGGACGGGTGGGTTGCGCCTCGCTGTGTAGAACAGCTTGCCCAAATGGCTTTCCACACCGTCATACCTTGAGGTGATTTGCTTGTGGAACAGCCCCTCCGCCTCCTGTGGATCCTGCGTGGATGCCAAGTTGTGCACCACGATCAGCTCCCGCGCAGCCTTGTGACTGAACTGCTCCTTCTGCTCAAACATCTGGACATACTTCTGCTCAAACGACGTGAAGTCGTTCACAACAAACATGATGTGGTCAGAAAGTTGAGAAACCAGCTCGAAGAGAAAGGCCTCCGTGCTCTGGGCATCCACAACCCTGTCGATGCTGTCCGACTTGTACGACACAGTCGACTGCACCCCAGGAGAGTCGATGAGCAGCATGCGTCGCTCTTTCAGGTAGACGCACGACAAGCCTTGTGTCACCTGAGTCTTGCCAGATGGCAGGTTCAGCCCGAAGAGCTTGTTCAACAGGAAGGTCTTGCCCTTGTTGAACAGCCCAACCACCGAGATGATGCGAACATCCTGACAATCTTCCGGATTGAAGTCGGACGAAACAGAGCGCAGGAGCCAAATGCGTTTCTCCTTGGCAAACTCCGCCAGCGACATCATCCGGATGACACAGTCGTAATCCGTAGGTTTACTGATGAAAGACTCCTCCACCTTCTTCTGGTCTTCCTCATGCTCCTGCACATTCTTCTGGTCGTCCTCATCTGCGGGTCCCAGCTGGCGACTCGTGCCTTGCAGGAAAAGTTGCCATGCACATCCTGACGCAGCAAGAAGTGCAAGACCAAAGAGGCCTGGCACAACGTTATCCTTGCGATGCTGGGCCGGAATGTCCGCGAATTCTTTAAGGACCAATGTACCCATGATTGCCTGAATAGTTCCAATGAATGCCAGCGACGATCGGCAAACTGCGCGCTGAAGGCTGAAGGCATTTCCCATTGCTTTGGAGGCACACAAATCTCCAGCTACAGCTTGCAGAACCAAAGGCTGCCGGGGGGGGGTGGCCTGATTGGCTGCCTCGGGCTACCTCTTCATGCCCCTTTTGCGCCTGTTCATGGCCAAGGGGTGACAAATCAACACATTCAAACGCCTACAGCCCGCAGGAAGCACACAACTCATTTTGTCGCTACGCTGAGCGCATTGTCCAGCCGGAAACTGAATGCTGCAGAGTCAGCTTCTGCTCAAGAAACATTGAATCACAGCATATGGCAAACTGTGAGTGTGGAGGTAACATAAACACAAAGCAGCAGCTACGAAGCCAGACTCCTTTGTCAAGCGGCGCCCCCAAGCAGCACTGCATAGGGGGCGTGGCTTGACAAAACCTGCGTATTACACATGCACTTCTGCGCTTGCAACTCATAACATGAGCTCACGATTCAATTGCATGATGGCCCTTGGCTCATTCAGCCAAATTGCTAATGTTGCAACTCTACCCTGTCTCAAGCGCACATCGAGAGCTCGTTGGAATTGGTGTTGTAGACAATTGGAGGCTAACATGGCTCTTGCCAACCCGATCATGCACAGCTGCAACGCAACACTCTTCGAACCTCAACACTTCCGTCTTATCCCAACATGCTGCTGGCAAGCGTGCCGGAGTAGAACAACGGCACCGCAACACATTACACACATGCAGCTGTCTTCCGGGCAAGGCCCACAGCTTCTAGAGAGGATTGACCACTCGAAACCCGCAGCTGTGAACCAGTGAATGCACCATGTGAATTTGATGGATGTTGGCATGCAAGTGTATTACTCGCGGCCTCGCATGCATGAGCGAGGTGCGAGCTGTCTGCTGAGAGCAGCGTGTCAGCGAAACTAGGCACTTGCTGGCGTCAGGATCGCGGAGTCTGCAGTCGCTGCCGTGTCGCTGGACACCTTGAAGAAGCCCTCGCTGGCATTCCCGCCGGAGGTTCTCACGCAGGGGTGAGCGTCAGAAACATTGTGGGCGCGGCAAAGGCCTTCGGCCTCAGACGGCAAGGAGGACGTTGGCATGTAGCTGACGGCCTCTACCCTGGACTCATGGATGCTCTGCAAACCCCCGCGCTTGTTGATAACGCACTTCTTGAGCTTGATTGTCAGCATTCCAAACTCCAAGGCGCACTGGTCTTCGGACACCTCAAACGGCCCATCCATGAAGCGGAAGTTCTTCTCGTAGACCCCAGACTGCTGCCGCAGGCTGGACACCGCAGTGACAGAGCCCTCGTCGATCAGCTTGGACTTCTCAATGCGAATGGTCAGGCCCTCCCCCTGCTGATCCCAGCGTACGCCCTCAGGCCGCACACCAGGACATTCGAAAAGGATGGTGCGGGTAAGGTATTCCGAAGTCTTCTGGTCGAAGATCATGGGCTCCGGGCTGAAGGACTTGTCGTACGAGATCACTTCGCCGAGGTCCGAGATCACACCCTCGGTCTTGACGTCCAGCTTGTCGCAGGTCACGTGGAAGTAGCCGATCTTGCGATGGGACGGGAAGTCCTCAAAGTGCTTTTCAGCTGAGCTTGCCTCTTGCTCATGGTACTGGTGGTACTCCAGGTTTCGTCCACCCGTGTCGTCGCACCCCATGAGCAGGAAGCGGGGCAGCAAGTCGTCCACCTTGCTGCGGACGAGTTCCTTCAGCACCACCTTCTCAGGCAGCTTCTTGGCGTGTTCCAAGTGCTCCAACAGCAGGCGGATGTTGCTGTGGTTGAAGGTATCTCCAGCTGCACTGCCTTCCTTGCAAATCGCAAAGTGGTGGACGGGCGGGTTGCGCCTCGCTGTGTAGAACAGCTTGCCCAGATGGCTTTCCACACCGTCATACCTTGAGGTGATTTGCTTGTGGAACAGCCCCTCCGCCTCCTGTGGATCCTGCGTGGATGCCAAGTTGTGCACCACGATCAGCTCCCGCGCAGCCTTGTGACTGAACTGCTCCTTCTGCTCAAACATCTGGACGTACTTCTGCTCAAACGACGTGAAGTCGTTCACAACAAACATGATGTGGTCAGAAAGTTGAGAAACCAGCTCGAACAGAAAGGCCTCCGTGCTCTGGGCATCCACAACCCTGTCGATGCTGTCCGACTTGTACGACACAGTCGACTGCACCCCAGGAGAGTCGATGAGCAGCATGCGTCGCTCTTTCAGGTAGACGCACGACAAGCCTTGTGTCACCTGAGTCTTGCCAGATGGCAGGTTCAGCCCGAAGAGCTTGTTCAACAGGAAGGTCTTGCCCTTGTTGAACAGCCCAACCACCGAGATGATGCGAACATCCTGACAATCTTCCGGATTGAAGTCGGACGAAACAGAGCGCAGGAGCCAAATGCGTTTCTCCTTGGCAAACTCCGCCAGCGACATCATCCGGATGACACAGTCGTAATCCGTAGGTTTACTGATGAAAGACTCCTGCACCTTCTTCTGGTCTTCCTCATCTGCTTGTCCTAGCTGGCCAACCGGGCCCGGCCACAAACGTGTTCGCAGTGTTCGCATAACAGCCAGACCTGATCGCATGAATCCGAGGGGCAATCGGAAAACCGCGCGCAAAGCCTTGCTGCAGGCGTTTCCCATTGCTTCGAAGGCACACAAATCTCCAGCTACAGCTTGCAGAATCCCAAAGGCTGCGGGGGGGGTGGCCTGATTGGCTGCCTCGGGCTACCTCTTCATGCCCCTTTTGCGCCTGTTCATGGCCAAGGGGCGACAAATCAACACATTCAAACGCCTACAGCCCGCAGAAAGCACACAATTAATTCATTTTGTCGCCACGCTGAGCGCATTGTCCAGCCGGAAACTGAATGCTGCAGGGTCAGCCTCTGCTCAAGAAACATTGAATCAGAACACATTGGCAAACTGTGAGTATGGAGGCAACATAAACACAAAGCAGCAGCTACGAACACAGACTCCTTTGTCAAGCGGCACCCCCAAGCAGCACTGCATAGGGGGCGTGGCTTGACAAAACCTGCGTATTACACATGCGCTTCTGCGCTTGCAACTCATAACATGAGCTCACGATTCAATTCCATGATGGCCCTTGGCTCATTCAGCCAAATTGCTACTTAATGGTGCAACTCTACCCTGTCGCAAATCGAGAGCTCGTTGGAATTGGTGTTGTTTACAATTGGAGGCTAACATGGCTCTTGCCAACCCGATCATGCACAGCTGCAACGCAACACTCTTCGAACCTCAACACTTCCGTCTTATCCCAACATGCTGCTGGCAAGCGTGCCGGAGTAGAACAACGGCACCGCAACACATTGCACACATGCAGCTGTCTTCCGGGCAAGGCCCACAGCTTCTAGAGAGGATTGACCACTCGAAACCCGCAGCTGTGAACCAGTGAATGCACCATGTGAATTTGGTGGATGTTGGCATGCAAGTGTATTACTCGCGGCCTCGCATGCATGAGCGAGGTGCGAGCTGTCTGCTCAGAGCAGCGTGTCAGCGAAACTAGGCACTTGCTGGCGTCAGGATCGCGGAGTCTGCAGTCGCTGCCGTGTCGCTGGACACCTTGAAGAAGCCCTCGCTGGCATTCCCTGTAGCTGACGGCCTCTACCCTGGACTCATGGATGCTCTGCAAACCCATGCGCTTGTTGATAAGGCACTTCTTGAGCTTGATTGTCAGCATTCCAAACTCCAAGGCGCACTGGTCTTCGGACACCTCAAACGGCCCATCCATGAAGCGGAAGTTCTTCTCGTAGACCCCAGACCGCTGCCGCAGGCTGGACACCGCAGTGACTGAGCCCTCGTCGATCAGCTTGGACTTCTCAATGCGGATGGTCAGGCCTTCCCCCTGCTGATCCCAGCGTACGCCCTCAGGCCGCACACCAGGGCATTTGAGGAGGATGGTGCGGATAAGGTATTCCGAAGTCTTCTGGTCGAAGATCATGGGCTCCGGGCTGAACGACTTGTCGCACGAGATCACTTCGCCGAGGTCCGAGATCACACCCTCGGTCTTGACGTCCGGCTTGTCGCAGGTCACGTGGAAGTAGCCGATCTTGCGATGGACGGGAAGTTCTCAAAGTGCTCTTCCGTTCTTGCCTCTTGCTCATGGTACTGGTGGTACTCCAGGTTTCGTCCACCCGCGTCGTCGCACCCCATGAGCAGGAAGCGGGGCAGCAAGTCGTCCACCTTGCTGCGGAGGAGTTCCTTCAGCACCACCTTCTCAGGCAGCTTCTTGGCGTGTTCCAAGTGCTCCAACAGCAGGCGGATGTTGCTGTGGTTGAAGGTATCTCCAGCTGCACTGCCTTCCTTGCAAATTGCAAAGTGGCGGGTTGCGCCTCGCTGTGTAGAACAGCTTGCCCAGATGGGTTTCCACGCCGTCATACCTTGAGGTGATTTGCTTGTGGAACAGCCCCTCCGCCTCCTGTGGATCCTGCGTGGATGCCAAGTTGTGCACCACGATCAGCTCCCGCGCAGCCTTGTTCCTTCTGCTCAAACATCTGGACGTACTTCTGCTCAAACGACGTGAAGTCGTTCACAACAAACATGATGTGGTCAGAAAGTTGAGAAACCAGCTCGAACAGAAAGGCCTCCGTGCTCTGGGCATCCACAACCCTGTCGATGCTGTCCGACTTGTACGACACAGTCGACTGCACCCCAGGAGAGTCGATGAGCAGCATGCGTCGCTCTTTCAGGTAGACGCACGACAAGCCTTGTGTCACCTGAGTCTTGCCAGATGGCAGGTTCAGCCCGAAGAGCTTGTTCAACAGGAAGGTCTTGCCCTTGTTGAACAGCCCAACCACTGAGATGATGCGAACATCCTGACAATCTTCCGGATTGAAGTCGGACGAAACAGAGCGCAGGAGCCAAATGCGTTTCTCCTTGGCAAACTCCGCCAGCGACATCATCCGGATGACACAGTCGTAATCCGTAGGTTTACTGATGAAAGGCTCCTCCACCTTCTTCTGGTCTTCCTCATGCTCCTGCACATTCTTCTGGTCGTCCTCATCTGCGGGTCCCAGCTGGCGACTCGTGCCTTGCAGGAAAAGTTGCCATGCACATCCTGACGCAGCAAGAAGTGCAAGACCAAAGAGGCCTGGCACAACGTTATCCTTGCGATGCTGGGCCGGAATGTCCGCGAATTCTTTAAGGACCAATGTACCCATGATTGCCTGAATAGTTCCAATGAATGCCAGCGACGATCGGCAAACTGCGCGCTGAAGGCTGAAGGCATTTCCCATTGCTTTGGAGGCACACAACAACTTACAGAATCGCGAAGGCTACCGAGGAGGGAGGACTAGGATAAATGAACTGATTGGCTGCCTCGGGCTACCTCTTCATGCCCCTGTCCATGTCCAAGGGCATGACAAATCTACAAGTCGACAAGTACACATTCGGTGAGCGAGGATCGCTCGAAGCTCCATTGCGCAACGAGAAAATGGACATGAGCATGATTGCCATTTTTTGCTTTGATGGTTTGATTGTGAAACGAAGCCCACACTGGTGACGCAAAGCAAGTCCTGATGGCACAAACAAACGTACGATGATCCCAGCAGCATCAGTGCGCTTATTTTCTAGGGCTCATGCATAAGCGAAGCTTCATGGCGCCTTGCACCACGGCAACAAGAGAACAATAGCAATGACTGCCACTTCATGACCTTTTCTCAACAGTAAAACGCATGATTGCATTCATGGTTCAATCAGGGCGTTGCTTGCTGACAAACAGCAGTGTCATGTCGGTCGTTCGCTTCGGCGCGAAGTCGGCCTTGACGTGCCAAACTGGCTTACACAGGCTGGAACACAACAGCAAAAGCTGCGTCCCTATGCAACTTGGCCCTTCAAATGCCTCAGGACCTGGCAGCGGTTCCACGGGTCAGGTGATGTATGATTGGTGTTGGGTCAGATCTCTGCTGCCATATCCATGGATCTTGGCTGGATGAGAAAGTAACCAATTCTGTACACCATGGATATCAATGTTATGGCTGGGGTATTGCAGTTTGTCTTGTCTTTCAAGTCTAAACTTGACATCCGATATCGCTATTCTCTGGGTTGACTCCACAGGGCTCTGCCGTCGAGAAAAGCTTGCTCAGGTGAATGAAGCTGTAAATCATGGAGCCATGCCCATTGACACACTAACAAGGCTCTTCAATGGATGCTAATCGCAGCTAAACTCTAGATGCGGCAATCATGTCACAGCAAGATGTGATGAAGGACGGCGTCTTTGGAGCCGCCACGAAGACAGCCTGGTCTGGTTAAACAAATTAGCCCCTGCTGTGTGGGTATACCTGTCTCTGCACAAAGCCACATTGCTGCTGTTTAGAGATCTCCATTATGGAACGATTGAAACTGCGGCGCTCGCTTGTCGGCACTCGCTATCTGTGCAACTCACAATGATTACTCTTATTTACACTTGGCCGTAGCCCAAATGTAAACATTGTCCATCGTGAACTGCTTCAGCAAGGTGGACAATGTAAATCTAGATTGTCGTCAATTATCGTGTCTACGAGATCTGACATCCCTGCCAACCCCTATGGCCAAACCAACGTGCCAAATGCATTCCTTCGCCGCAAAATTGGCTTGGGGTGAAGAAGCAGCGCTCAAGGCACGACGCTTCGACGAATGTTATTTACGTCAGCCCTCCCAAAAACTACCTGCCTAGCATTAAGAAGCAGGCTTCCAAGGGCGAACAAATTAGCAGGCGGCCTTCATCTCGTTCAGAAAGTGGCACCAAATATGGATTCCGCCTTGATTGTCCTTTCAGGTATCGTGGTGTGGAAGCTGTCAAGGTTGACTTTAACAGAAGCTATCTTTCACATCTGTGTTGGAGGAGCCACAGGACTTGGCCCAGCAACCACCTGCCTTAGCCGCTGACTTGCGAGGACTATTTACTTTATGCTCTGGGTATATGGCAGAGCCTGACCCCAAGCAGCAAACGCTCTTCATGTTCTTTTGGTGGATCTTTTGAATACTATGTTCAGTCTATAAGCAGATGCTTTTCCTCAGCAACTCTAATATTATGTCACGCCATCGAAGCAACCGAAACAACACTCTAGGTAGTGTTATTCGCTTCTCGGGGCATGGCACGTGTACTTGCCGATCGGATACACGTGGAAGGGACCAAAAAGAAAATTTTGGCATGGAATGTGCGCACTTGAGAGAGGGGTGTGGGCGCGGGCGTCAATACTTTTGGCCTGCGTGTGGGCGCTTGCAAATGATCAAAGGCTAAGTCGCTTGACCCACCTGAAACATCCAAATGACTGGACCCCCTCCTGGACCTAAAAGTAGTCCTGGATGCAATTTCTGAGGAAGAAATACAAACAGCTCAATACAAAAAGTAGTTTCCCTCACCAGTGGTCAGCATGGACGTTTTAAGACTCCAAACTAGTCCAAATGCAGGTGTTCCCCCGTCCTAATGCACTGGCTCATCAAGAATTGTCAGTCTTTGCATGGTCATATGATTCCATATGTTTCAGCCATCGTAAATTAGTAAGCACGAGTGTTTTGTTGATTGTGTAATCCAATTCACGGTAAACATGGTTGCAGCACGTATGCCGCAGCTCCCTACGTTTGGCCTGATTCGTGAAAAATATCGAGGTGTGAATGTTTTGTATACTCTGTCTGCCAGGTTGGCAGGATCATCACATTCTCACTAGTTGGCAACAAAATAGGATCTGATGCCAGTACCAAAATCCGGTGGACAATGTATCTGGTTGAGGCTCAACTCCAATGCTGGGGGCACACTGTGTGTATTCAGGAAGAAGATAGTGAACTAAAAAAGGGCGTGAGCTTCGGACATGACAAACAAGGGCAACCCTTGAACATGCACCACAAAAGACTGCTTTGGATGACGTGCTATCTGGCGTGCGCCTAGGCAAACGAGAACAGGGCACAGTTGCAGCCCCGGACAGCGAGTTAGCCAACTAGCAAACATCACAACGTCTCTTGTGCGCAATGTCCTACCAAGGTCGCAAGTACCAATTTTGTCCTGAGGGACAACATCTTGTTAATCCCGTTTCTGTCTAATACCTGTTCAACTTGTCGACCAACACCTGAAGAACTCACGCCTGATTCTTGATCCACTCCCGGTTGTGCGGAAGGTACTCGCCAGACTGCAAGGGAAGCTGAGAGTAACCAGGGCGGGCATGACCTTCGAAATATGCATCCTGGTGAAAGATGTTGGGCAACCTTGGAAACCTTGCGCATGAACAACTCAACCCCATCAGGCCACTGCTTTTTGCCGTGAAGCTGACGATTCCTTGGTGGTGCCCCAACCAAGTATGCCCTACACCTTCAGCTTGGATTAAGACTATGACTATGAAAGCTGCCTGTGGCTAGTCTTCAGACTGCACGAACGAGCGACATGTCTTGTGATCCTTTGCAACCCAAGAAATCTTTGAGGAGACAAAACCGGGCCTCCAAATGGTTTGGGCTCAGGTAGTTCTCTTCAATGGACCAAACATAGTGTCTACACACAGCCTTTACACCCACTAACATGGCAAGCTGCGAAAGGACAACTCGCGCAGGAGTCTTTTCTCAGGTCTCAATGTGTGTTCCATCTCAGCGCATCCTGATTTTAAGGAATCCAACCACCAAACATCAGCCTTGCTCTGTATAGGCCAGGCGCTTCCTCGCACAGCCAACCCGCCTACATGCGTAGGAACCCTGGACTGCCGGAGGAAGGCTAAGGGGTGGCCAACCAAGAGCCATATGGCATCTGAACAGGGGGCTCCCTACCAGAAATCTATACGAGGAAATCTGCCTGCACGTGAAGTGCCCTCGCCTGACCATTGATTGCTAGTGGATTTGGCTGCCCCTCTAGTTCGTCATTGGAAGGCCAAACATGGAAGCTTGCTTAAAAAAAGGTTCACCTCTCGATCGATTTCCTGAGAAAGCAGAAAGACTGAAGCCAAATTTCCCATGATTGCTAAGGGGGGAACAGCGTCGGCTGTAATCTCCCGGGACCTTATCCAAGTAAGAAACGGCCCCGACGACAGCCTTGGATTCATAGACCAGACAGGCGATATCCTCCAAGCGGTCAATGAAGCTCCACAAGTCCTGACAAGCAAGAAGCCAAGCATGCTGAACCACCAAATCTGCGTCACATTCCATTGGTAAATGCGTGTCCGGTATTAGTCGTACGTGACCATGGGAATTCACTGATCGATGCTCCACATATTATAAAGGTTGTGTGTGCCTGTTTCAAACACAAACAAGCCTTGAGGAAAGCCCAACCTTGTGAGAAGGAACAAACTCACCAGGCAGGACTCGTGGCTGCCTGCAACCGGAGCCCTTTATAGCCCTTGCCTCCCGCACCCACAGGCAGCCTCAACCGTGTACTTTGCTTGAGACCGCCCGCGCGTGTCCATCTTGATGACCTGGCCATGTCTGGAATTAAACGATACGCACCCGCTGTTCATGGCATGGCGCAGGGTCCAGAGTGGTCAGGCCCCCCTCAATACTTGCAGCCACGTTGTAAAGCTCCTGCTGAGCGCGATGATCATGCTTTGCCCCTCCGCAAGTAAAAAGCAGGTTCAGTTTGGACCTGGTTGGCTCAACGGCTGGCCTTCAATCTTCAGTGCCGTGGTTTGCTGTTGGTAGCTTGGCTTTGACTCCTCCCACACGAGGAGCTACCATGACTCGTGCCCGCACGGCTCCAAGAGCAGATTGACCGGAATTCCGACAGTGCCCAAACGTTGGGATGGCCATGATAGGCATTCCCGAAAACCTGGCAGGCCACTTTCCTATGAACAATTCACACTATCGTGTCAACCTTGGTGATGAGCCTCTGCAGAAAAATACGGACACCAGTCAGCATCCCAACCTGAAGCATGATGATTTGTGGTTGGTGTGCGTGATGGTTGAAATGGTCGCACCGCGCTGAAGAGTGCACAGGCTGCTCTTGCTGCCTCATGGCACAGATGCTCGCGTTGACTGAAGAGGTCGAGCTACTGGAGGATCACATCCATAAAGACACAACATAAGAAAACAACGGGAGGCAAGTCAGACTAGACCGATGCAAACTGATGCAACCATTGCCTGCTCGTACATCTGGCAAATGTCGTCCATAGCACTGCTCCTCAACTGCAACATGCTTTGGCCGCGGTCAGGTTAAACAACTCACACCAACATTGTTCAATCAAAGCAAAATCAGAAGACAACACAGGACAAGGCTCAAACCATAGCATTGCATTTGGTCGCCTACCCAAATTCCAGCCCCAATAGCAAAGCCTGAACGCCTACGTGTACTGATGCTGCTCAATCCCAGTCGTGCATGTTCACTAATCGTAGTGCATGGCACGCCTCAAGTCATCTGTGTCCTGCTTCATATTGGCACAACAACGACCTGTAAGCTGCTTTAATTGCATCTTTGTCGCAACAAATGGCTCAACCTGCTCCAAACGCCGAGCTCCACGCACATTGCCATGCTCCGAGTACCTGCACTCGGCTACGTTACCAGCCTGGTCACGTGCCATCGAAATGGCTGCTTCAACTCCATACTGCGCAAGCAATTACACCAACCACGTCATGGACATGGATCACACGCACAATCAACGGATCGCAACACAATGAATGCATCACGGTGCCCCACTGATAATGTGTGGCTGCACACAACTGCCGCCTCTGTGACCACCACACATGAACAGCAAAGTGGCCATATGTCGGCCTGCGGATGGCCAAGCAGGCGCACGTCTTGCTGCTGGCCGTGCCGGAGTACTGGACCAGCAACTGGAAGCATTTGGACATGTTGTCTGCGTGTGGGTGCGTGAGTGCCCCCGCGCGCATGTGTGCGACTGTGTCCACACGAAACTTCACGAGTTTGCAAACACACACACACACACACACTGTATTTTGCCATCCTGAACAAGACAAATACTTGCGGCAAGACATGCTGCAGCTGCAACAGTGGCATGCAATGACAAACACAACAAGAACACAAATAACACAAGCAGACAGTCATGGCCAGGTACGACCACGACAGCTGTAGTATTTATGCCCCAATACTGTTCATTCAGAGACGCGGGTGCACGCAGGGAGAAGGCTTCTGGCAATCCACCAAACCCAACCGGCGATTCTAACAACAGACGGCCAGAAACAAACAGCATCAAACTTAGCTATTTTGGCGCAAACCACAGCGGATGTGTGCCAAGCTTGTAGGCAGCAAAGATCACTTTGTTCCCGTTGAATTGGTCCTGTTGTAAGGATTCTCAGTACTTCGCTCTGCTTGACCGTGCTCCACCAAGACAACAACAATGTCATACAAATTGACATAAAACGAGCCAGCAAGCCAAAAAAAGGGCGGCAAAAGGAAGGGCAATAAGAGCAACAGAGAAGCGCCATACAACTCGCATCACAGCGACGCAATAACAGCGACAACGCTACGAAGCTTTTGCGCTGACAAGCATGGCAGGGAGGCGATCGCATGTCCGCTTGGCAGATGGCTGGCGATGAGACAAAACTGTCAATCATGTGAATGTCATCCCTCCCTTTCAGGCATATCAAGTCCCATCCAGGGGAAGCCAAGGCTAAGATGCAACAATCAACACATGTGACAACAAATCCCAGGCTTTTGTGCAGCTTCAGCTTTGAGTCCGGCAAACGCCATCCGTGTCAGCCGCTCCTCTCACCAACCCTGTGATGGCCAGAACGTAGATGCTTCTCCGTGCCGCCTTCTGTTGGTATTCGATTCATGCCAAGTGAACTCGCATATCCTTGCCTCTTCTCAGTGCTGGGTCCTGGACAGGAACCAATACTTGCACATCCGCAATGATTCCCAGGCAAATCATCACCAGGCTGCAAACATCCGCAAACTACCTTTGAGTCACCATGAAGGTGAATGGCCTTCAACCAATTTCTGCCAAGAGCGCAGGAACTATGCATTCATTTGAGAATAAGGCACGCCACCTACATGTGTCAAGGTGATGCAACCAGCCTGCCGACTCGTGCTCATTCCAGGTCCTTGGAAGGCCCCGTGGCGCACTCAGATGACTAGAGGGACAAGGTTGTGTCGCAACAACCAGCCACTCGGTGCCATTGAACTGGAAGTGTTACCCTCCTTCTGAAGGCCCCTGTCATATGAAACACAGTACAAGTAACCCATCCCTGAAGAGCTCGAAAGCCACAGAGCCTCAAAGAAAAAACTTTTGAGCGCATTCCAATGCTGAGTGCCTGATCACTCACACAGCGGTCCAGGCTGATGGTTTGCAGCTCAAAGCCAACGGGGATGTGAATGATCACTAGACAAATGCGCCTAGATGCTGGACGTCCATCCCATCAAACGCAAGCAAAAGTCGACAACACCTGCCAATGTTGAACAATCACAACAATTCCATGTTTTTTTGGAATCAATCAGTGCAATCAAAGAAACAAGTAGTCTCGTATTATATTGTCATGCAAAGAAACCTCCCAGAGCTTGGTTCCAGTCTGCCAGGCAATGTGTCATCTCAAGCCGTCCTTGAATTCGCGAAAGATAATCCTATGCACCTGCAAGTCAAAGGTTGGTATCAGGAGTTCATATTGGACGCATACATTCAGCCTTTGATTGATGGGCGCTTGGTCCCAGAAAGAACGCCTTCATTTGAACGCTGTCTAAAAACTACCTGGCAACAAGCTGACCATCGCTAACAGTAGATTGGCCAAGAAATAGTCTAAACTGTTCGTTGCCGCAAAAAAACATGGTCTTGCCAAGAACTCAGATGTCCAGTGGCGATGGGAAAAAAGGCATCCCTTCTTGATTGGTTGAGTTCAAAGGAATCGGAACCCTTCCGAACAAGTGGAAAAGAGGGGTGAGCAGCCCACTGGGCCACTGGGGTTCCCCAAAAAAAAACCGCCGGAAACTCAGGAGAGCAACAGCCCCCCCCCCCAGCCATCGGGGCATCGGGGCCCCTGGCGGCTTGCTGATGGTCTGCCGCACCCGCGGCCCCCAACCTGCGATCGGCGCCCTGCCACGCGAGTCTCGAGATCCAAAGACCCTGCCCCAAACGAAGCCCGAACTTTGGTCCTCAACCTGAAGCGCAACTTCGGTCTTCAAATGTTGGTCTCAAATTCTGGGGAATTGAAGAAGTTCTGCTTCTGGAAGTCCAGTTCTGCATGGATTCAAGCTCAAGACTGGGCTGTGACTCTGAACCATATCCTCAGGAGCAGTGAAATCATAGGCCAAAGAAACACGGGATGACCTTTGGCCAGTGAAGCGCATGGCAGCTTTCCAACAAAAAACTCTGCTGGATGTCGCGCGGCTTCCTGTTGCCAGACGTGAACCATTGAGTACGTCTCTGCAAGGCAAATGAGACACTGTTGAACACGCCCCTCTCTTGAAAGCATTGCACACGCAAGGAGCGGAGCGACTTCAGGTGCAACATATCCCACATCAACAGTACGTTTGGTACGTTTGATGGATCAACAAAATTCACTCATTCTGGCAAGACGATTGTTCCCACAACTTTCCCATGACGTACGGTAGGTTGGCACCATTCAGGATGCGTCACCCAAGATTGTGAATCGAAGTGCTAAAGTCTCCTCGAACCCTTGCAAGTGTGGCTGCGCATCCAAAGAAAGGGGGCACTTCTCAACTTCTGTGATCTTCTGTGCGTGTTCTTTCAAACGGTCTCCAAATAAAACAATTCCCTCCAAAAGCCGTCCTGGATACCCTATTCACGGGCCCCAATGTCGGCCTCACCCAACCCCTTGCAAGGCATGGCTTTGCGTATCCGAGCCTTTACCCTTGCCTTTGCCTTTGCCGCCCATGGCAACGAGTACTTGTCTTGTGTGGACAAATTTCGTGACTGAAGCATGCAGCTGTTGCGTCTCTTGCTAGCAAAGCACCCTGCGCCTGACGTTGCGGAAATTACGGCTCACTTTTGCTTGCTCAAAAACCTTCATGTTTCTCCTTGGCTTGAAATTCAGGCACGGCGGAGCACAAACTGACGGCCTTTGGACAAACTCAGCTGGCATCGACTTCTGCAAAGGGAATCGACGGGTAGCCAACACAAACCCGGGATATGAATGAGGGCACACACACACAATGGCACATACCTCTTCACCCCCAAATGCCTACATAAACACCTCTAACAGCGCTGGCAGCGATGAACAACTGGACCCTCAAAGTTGTGGACGTGAGGCTTGGCCGTCTCCAACAAACAGGAAAGCATCAAAATGGCTTGCAAAACGAACAGGAAAAGCAGTCTTTGCAAAAACGCCATGGCAACTGACCCCAGCCTTTTTTGTTACCCGGGTGTTCAACTCAATTGGGTTATCACCCCAGCAAATTCAGCTACCACCAGCGAAAACAAACGGGGTTCATACAACCGTCAAATTTTTATCGTTCAGGAGTTTCCTGTGTTTGTAGAGAAGACTTTGTTATAGATTCAAGGGGGTTTGGGGCCCGTTAAACCAAACTCAACCGCGCAAGTACGCGACTCAGCTAGTGAGACCTTTTGAGCCGCCATACTGTCGATGCGAATGATGCAAACGTGGAGTATGCCCAATGGAACTCTTCACCCCACTCGGAGTGTAAAAGGGGCCTTTTACAAAGCAGCCAAACAGTTACACTCAAAAGGGAAACGGGCCTCCCAAGTATGGAACATGCAAACCCATGATGGGTGTCGTTTTACCGCTCCCACCACGATGAGTTGTCATTCCATCCACGATGAGTTTTACCTCCCCCTGGCCGCCACGCCATTGATGTTCTCAGCTTTCCTGGACAAACGCTTGGCACTCTCCTTCTTCGAGAACTCGACGGAGCCGACGACGAGGCGTTCATTTTGGTTGAATAGCCAGCTCAACTCTTTCATCACATCTTCATGCGTGGAGCCGCGGATAGTGATCAGTCTGTTGCAGCCCAGGACCTGGCGCGGTTTTCCCTTGTCCAGGACCATGTTTGCAAACCGGCGGGCTGCACGGAGTGGTCTGCAACATGAGTATCCATCTTGAACGCAATTCCGAGCCCAATGGTTCAAGCAGAAAGCACAGCGGCGACGCAAGGACGAGGCTGCTGCTGAGCTCCACCCTCAACATGTCCTGCGTAGCCTTGCCATTCTCCAGCATGCGCGCTCGACACTGGATGTCCAGTTCGTACCTGAGACCATGGTACCCATTCTTCAGAGCGCTCTTGAGCTTCTTCCTGGTCGCCTTGCTATCGGATGAATTTATCCGTGGATTCTTTGTCTCTTTGCATCCCCTTGCGAGGGGCGAGGGGAGGGCACATTTGTCCTTGCGGCAGCCATCTTTTCCAACGCGTCACTGCGATCGTAGTTGACTGCTTGGTCACGGGACATGCCATGACCCTCATCATCGCCAGAGCTCCTCTGCGCCTCCGATTGCTCGGCGCTGGTGTACCAAACATCGCCGTTGAAAGCGTCGATCACACTGCATGTAGATTGGCACTTTGCTCCGAGTGAGGACACCATCGCTGGCAGTGCGAAAGAACACAATGCCAGCCTTGACCCGCCATCTTGCAGTCCACCTCAATCTCCAACGGCCGATCCCCGCGAACGCCGGCAATATAGTTGGCATCCGTAGTATCCGTAGTTGCCTTGTCAGCGAACCACTCCACGGAGATGTCGTCGTCTCCGATCACGTTGGCCAGCCAGTCATTGTGGCCTGGCTGGCCCTGATCTTAGAGATCCAGCGGCTGTCGCGACAGCGCGAGGCGTACGGACAGCCCTGGCAGATGAACCTGCTTTTGGAGTCCGTCTTGATTATGTCCAGGATATTTTGCATATTCCAGGCAATCGGGTTGCGCAACTCCTTGCGGACCCGTTACGCATCTCGTCGATGAGGGCGGCGGCTCTCTCGGAGAGTCTTCTTGCCACCCGACAAGAATGGAAGGAGGAGCAACATTCCTGAGGTACGGCTCAGTGATGGAGAGCAACGGCGTCAAGATCTGCAGGTAGTGGGGATGAGGGCTGATCCTGAATCCGCGTGTGGATGACCACTTGCGCACTGGCCGTTGCCAAAAGGCCTGTCACTGTAGCACCCAAATTCGAGTCGTACTTAGCGTTCGTGCAAATAGCTGTCGTAGCTAAATTCTCCAACCACCTGCGCCAAGCAGGATCGCAATCCCTCGCGGGATGCGCCACGGGAACCTCAGCACTCATTGCAAACGCGGCACAGCACAATTGCTTGAGTGGCTGCACGGTGGCGTGTTCAGAAAAGGCATTCTGGACAGCATCAGTGTAAAACGTATGTGTGCCCCTCAGCTTCTTTTAAAGGTGGTCCCTACGGCTTTCGTCATGTTCATGAGTCCGATCACACTTGAAGTACTCAATGGGTGCAATCGTGGGCATGTTGCTGGCAACGGAGCATTGCTTCTTCATTAGCTTATTGTTCCTGCCTGTGATGCCGATACTGCAGCCATGGAATTCATATTTCTTCATCTTATATTGGTCTGGAAAACTCCACAGCTCAGGCCGCTTCCACTAACGACATGCTTTGGGAAGCTCGAACGCAATCACAGTGTCACTGGCGCGCACGTCACGAATCATGCGTTTGAGACCTCTTCGGAGTGCTCGAAATTGTTTTTCTTGGCGCCGGCAGGATTCATTTGGTTCACATAGCCCCATGAACAGCCTCCGGTGCAAGGCACGGAGCCGCGCAGATAGACAGCCCCCCCCTGACCGCCAGGCTCTCCGGCCCCAAACTTGATCAAGTCACGAATGCCGATAGCACAGGCTCGCGCCTGGCATTGGGGGACATGCCAATGAGCCCGAGCGCACGATGCCACACGCGCGTGCTATCAAAGGCTTTCGTGAGGATGCCTGCTGCTTGGAGCTTAGTGTCAACATTGATAATATCAAACTGGCGATTGGTGAACTGCTCCTGAAGCCAGCGGAAGCTAATTCTCTGAGTGCGGTCGGTGTGCAGCAACTTCTGAGATTGCCCTGCTTAAGGACAGTGATCGTGGCCTGATTGTCCTCCGTAAGCTGAACTTTCCATTGTTTGCCTAAATGCATGAGCAAAGCGTTTATGTCGGCGACAGACCTGCCCGAATCAACATTGCTGTACCTGGTTTCATTCAGCTCCGGATCGATCCGTGCGACAATGCCATCAGGCATAGCAAGAGAAGCTTTGCTGGCTTTGCTTGCATACGAAAGGGCGTCTTTACCGAACATGCCGCTTGGTTAGCCGCGATCACCTCAGCTTCCGCTGTCAAGGGCAGCCTGGGCCTGTGGTGTCTTTGCAACTTCCGCTTTCGGGACAAGCCTAGTAATAACTGCAGCGAACAACACCAAAGCAACATCAAATTAAGTTTTCTTGACACGCTGCTTAATCATCTTTCGCAACGGCGGGCGACGCTCCTCCTTTGCGGCCTTGTCACGCTCGGGAAGAACGGGCGCAGCTGGCGCCGGCCTGATCTTGGGCATCACCCGCAAACCATTGCTGGTACAGCTGACTTCTTGCGCTTGAACCCAGCTAAGGAACCATGGCGAACCATGTCCATTCAATTGTGGCGGTATGTTGGTTGCAGTTGCGTGGTGCTGGATCGCAAACGGCCACATGGCCTGATTGGACAAGATTGGCACGGGCACCTTCGAGCAAGTGTCTCATCTCCCTTTCGGCAAACGACTTGGAAGAATCCACATACTCAACGGATGTCTGACGGCGGTAGCCCAACTGCTCAATTGCGGCTTTCAATTCACGGGAATGGTCTGTGTAGACCACTTCAACCTCATCCTTTCCTGATATGCAATGCTAAACTCCCGCGACGGATTGCTCCGTGCTCCTGCTGATCACGTAGCGGAATTGCGTATGTACATCCTTGATGGCAAGCGCACTCCACTCCCCCCTGATGCCAGGCTCTATATGCTAGATTTCATCAGGATGACATAATTGGCGACAATGTGATCACCGAAGCCTGCTTCCAGCCTACCCTGACCAGCTTTTGATTTGGCATATGGGGCAATCATTTTTGCATGCGGGCATGTCCGGCAAAAGGGATTCTTGGGATAGTGTGCAAACAAATGCTGCGTGGTGCGAGCCTCAGCGATGAGGTCGTGTTCCTTGCGAAAACGCACATGCTGCTCAATCTCGTTGTCAGGGTTGTCTCCCTCATTGACTCCCTTATATTGTTGCGCCATCTGGACGGACCAGAATCCCAGTGGAAGGAGTATCCTTGATCCAAACACTTCACTCCTAGTGACAGCACCGCGGCAGAACCTTCAAGAATGACGTGTTCACTCAGAATCTCCGATGCCCAGGTCGGGCCGGTAGCGGTCATGACACCGATTGCTTGCGATGCTTTCCTTCGATTCTACCTTGGAAACATTGTTCAGGGCCTTCTTACTAATAAGGTCCTGCTCACTGCCGGAAGCGATAAGCCCTGAGGTGCGGTCGCTGCTTTTGGCACTGCAGCGTCCTTGCGGATGGCGTCGGTGGACATGGCAATTCCCAAACATTCGTCGCACGAAAGGTTCGAGATGGAATCGAATTCCGCATCGCACATGAAACCGCACTTCGGCTCGGCACCTTCGATCACGGCATGCAATTGCAAAAGTGCTTTGCGTGCTGCCTTATTGGTCCCTTTGGGGGCATAGGGCAATCCTTCGCATTGGGGTGCATCATGCCATATTCTCGGTCCTCATATTCTAGCTTAAGACTGTCACCTTCGGCGGGGATCTCATGCACGCGTGCTTCGTTCTGGAAAGACACACCAACCGGGCTGATCGGCTTTGCGAACACGCACACCGCTGCAGCATTAGCCTTTGGCTTAGGCTTTGGGGAACTCGCACGCTTCTTGGTTGAATTGGTCTTGCTGGATGCCGCTGCAGCGGAATTTCCG